AACAGCACTTGTGGACATAGCAAACCTCATGTCCACCTGACGCCTGGTTTCCGATAGTCTACACAGTGGCAATTGAGCAAAGGCAGGATGAGCTATCAGTGAGCCAAAGCAGAGCTGTGGAACAAGCAATAAGACCACTGGAACAGAGTTTGTTCATTTGTTTATCTTCTAGTAAGTTGTTATATTCTTTATTGTTATTATATTGCATCTGAGGGTGTAGTTCCTTTGCAAACCCAGATTTAATCCAATCACTAGAATTTAATGGTAATATAATTTGACTTATATAAATTTGCTTTGGATTTAGTATTGTGTAGATATGTTTCTAAACAAGTATGGACTGTTATCAAGTGGAAAGGTAACCATAAGGATTTTGTCTTAGTAACCTTCCTATCACTGCAGTAAGACACCATGACCAAGGCAATTTGTAGAAGAAAGAGTGTATTGGGATTACAGTTCAAGAGGGTGAATCCATGACTATCCTCTGTCATGGCAGAGAGCATGGCAGCAGGGGGCATGGCACCAATTAGCTAAGAGCAACCACAAGGCAGACAGGGGGAGAGCTAATTGGGAATGGCATGGGTTTTAGAAACTTAAAAGTGCACTTAAGATTTCAAAAGGCCACACCTCCTGCAATGAGGCCACACCTTCTAATCCCTACCAAACAGTTCCAGCAGCTGGGAACCAAATATTCAAATACATGAGCCCATGAGGGCCATTCCTATTCAAACCACTCCATATTTTATATCACAAAATCCTTTTAATCTGTCTTTCAAAACTTTTTACAAGTTTTTCTAAGTATAGATGCATTTGTATAGTGCATTTAAAAAAAAGACCGTGCCTAAGAAATGCACTGGAAATTGTATACTCAAAACTTCAGTGTTGTCAACAGACTTGGTTTTATAAAGACAGGGCTGTGGACAAAGAGTTAGGGGTGTAGAGCAAGGTGTAGCTTCCACCACCTTAAGCCAAGGCATGCTGGCCAGTGGGGCCGTGAAGGGCTTCAGCTGCGGAGATGTGTAGCTTTTGAGAGTCGGGCCTTTCCAGTTGGCCTCCTGCTCCTGAATTTCCAGCCCACTTCTGCCTGGGTGTGTGCCCAGGTTCTCTCGCCCGCCCCTCTGTTTGCCACCCCTGTTCCTGTCCTTGGCCTCCAGCCCTCCCTCGCCAGCCTCAGCGTAACTCTGGCCTGAAGGGCTGTCTGTGTGGGGCTGCTCCACACCCGGTTTCTGGTGACTGTCCTTGTGGAATTCTTCCGTAAGAGGTTGACGTGAACTTTAACCCCCGTGTTACCAGCTTCGGTTTCTGGTGACTGTCTTTGTGGAATTCTTCCATAAGAGGTTGACGTGAACTTTAACCCCCGTGTTACCAGCTTCGGCCTCTGCCACACTACACGGGCCTTGCTTCTGCTGCGTTGCTCCTGCGCTAGTGTGACTTGACTTTGACACCCTCCTGCCACCTGTTCCCTTCCTGTCTGGCTTCTCTACTTCCTAACCCATGGTGCCACCATCTTCCCTCCTCCGAGTTAATCCCTGTTATCATGGGTTATGTAAATAAGAACCGGGGCTTACATGGCGTTTGCTTGTAGCAAACAAGGAATTCAAATGCTGCATGTAGACTTTACAGAAGGAGTTACCAATACAGATGGCTAATTAATTTATAGCTTTTTATCTCTTATTTTGGCCATAGGCAGTCTTTATTCACTGAGACACTGTACACATTTTATAAATTACTATTATTTCCTTTTGCTGCAAAAGCATAAAAATAATTTCTTCATACAGAAACCTGTCCATTGCTTCAAATCTTTGTAAATGTCAGCAAATAGCTCTCAGTGAATGACAAGTTGAAATGAGGAGCAGTGTGGCAAAGGACAGTTTGGACTGACCCACCCCGGTCCTGTGTTGGTGCCATGACCATCACCTCTCAAAGGAGGTGAGAGTCCAGGGGACCTTAGCATTGAGAGGGGGTGGAGAGCAGTGAGGAGCCTGGGTAATGCCAGCCAGCACCCGACTCTAGTCTGCCTGTCTCCATGGACTGGGCATGGGGCCTGGCAGGAGCAGGACTGGACAGTCTGTCCCCGGGGGCTGGGGGGGTGTCAGATCCCTCTTCATTGTCACCAGCTGTCACATATACTTGCACTCAAGGATGAGCAAGGAGAACAGGAAGTAGGAAAGATGCCTGGAAAGGAGGGGCAAGCACGTGGGCTCTTGTAGGCATGCCGAGGTCCTCCATCCTGAATTCCACCCAAGAACAGGAGCAGGGTTTCCTGTGTACATGGCAGTGCTTGGCCAGCTTCCTGTTCCCCAGGCCAGCAGGCCTGAGCTTCCTGTCCCCGCGTCCTCACTGCCATGCTGCACTGTGTCCCTCTGAAACTGAGCTGAAAGAAGCCCTCCTCCCGGACATGTGTTCTGTCAGGGTATCTTAGCACAGCCACAGAAGAGTAACTGTCATAAACATACTTCTCTGAGTATCTGCCAGCGACAACTCTGTTCAACAACAGAAGTCAGTAAATAGGTGATGGTTGGGGTTGTCCAGCTGACAGACTCCACAGCCACCAGGGAGGTGGGCCCCTGTGCATACCTGAGGAGGTCTCCTTGACTGCATTCACGGATGTGGGAAGACCCACTCTCCCCGCCCGGTGCAGGGTTCCTGGATGATCTGAAATGGACGGATGAGCCAAGCAGCAGCATCTCTTCCTGTCTCCAGAAGGTGGACACCATGTCCAGCTGCTTCAGGTTCCCACTGTCTTGGCCTTGAGCTTCTAAAATAACCCCTGTCTCCCTCAAGTTGCTTTGTCACAGCAACACACATATAAACTAAGATAGAGCATGAACATGGAAACTGCCCTATATCTGAAGAAAACCCTTAAAGATTGTAAGATAATGGTGGGGGTGCCTCATGCCTATAATCTCAGACGGCTGAGGTGGGGGGGCTGGCAGGAGTTTGAGGACAGTTTGGGCTGCCTAGTGAATATAAAGATGTTCTGGATTATGATAACAGGTTCTGTCTCAAGGAAACAAAATAAAATCAGAAAATAGAATTACAATGTACATTGTTCCTCCCATACTTGACATTGTCAGCTGTCCTGTGTTACCACTTTAGGAAGAAATACAAACAATAGCCAAGTGTGCTCTGAGGCAGAAATCATCATACACTGTGTGGGGTCACTGGTAACAACAGGGAGGGAAGTGCACGCTACTCCAAAGACATCGGAAGCACGCACATGTCTTCACCATGCTAGGGGGATGTGGGAAGGCTGCTCAGAGGCCTGGCCGCTCAGGGCCCTCTGGGAAGATGTGGGAAGGCTGCTCGGAGGCCTGGCCGCTCAGGGCCCCTGCCTTCTGCCTTCCTTTCTAAGGTTCCAACTCAGCACAGGGAATGGGTTCTATGAAATGATCCATTTACTAACCCACGTATTTCCATTGAGCATCAATGTTGGGGTGGGACACAGAGCACCAAGAATTATTTCATCACTTTTGTCATCTCTGTGTGTGTCCTGTGTATGAACATATGTAGGAGTGTGTGCCCACACATATGTGCACATTCATATGGAGGCCAGAGGCCCATGTTTGTCATCTTCCTCTGTCCCTCTCCCCCTTCTGCTCTGAGATAGGGTCTCACTTCCCCAGCGCTGGGTTTACAGGCAAGCACCCCCACTTCTGACTTTTTACATGCGTGTCAGGGTTCTGAATTTAGGCTTCTTGGTTGATGATAAGCATGCTGCTGGCTAGACTCTTTCCCAGACGTGATTCTTATGCAGTACAGTCAGTTGGAGAATGGGGTGGATCAGGCACATTCACAGATTCTAGAATGCAACAGGGACAGGGGACACTGCAAATGAGATTGGGAACAGCAGGGTAGAGTGATTTTCTGTTCTTCCCCAAGGGGAGGAATTTTTCAATTTTGTATTTCAGAATAGGGAGAACATGAAAATTATTGAAAGTAGAGAAAAGAGGGTCTGTGCAGAATAGTGATGAAGACAGCAAGGAAAGCCCCGTGGGAGAGGATAGCCTTGAGAAGAAGGAAGAGTGCCTTCAAATTAGGGGTAAGGGTGGAGAGAGCCTGAGTGGGGAGGCAGGGCTGTCGTCAGCAGGAAGAAAGAAGGCACAGTCTGTGGCAGCATCCTGACTCCCAGTCTGCTGAGAAGCCTCTCGCTGGCCCACAGGGAAGTTCAGCCTGACCCCCAGTCTGCTGAGAAGCCTCTCGCTGGCCCACAGGGAAGTTCAGCCTGACCCCCAGTCTGCTGAGAAGCCTCTCGCTGGCTCACAGGGAAGTTCAGCCTGACTCACTCTGGAGAGAAGGCTCCTGACTAGCCCACAGGACAAGTTCAGTGACAGACTTGGGGACCATGGGATGATTGGGAAGAACAGCTACAGAGACCACAGGTCCACAAAGGAACCTGCCTGGGGCAGTTGACTGAGTATCATGCATTTTAATGAAATGGATATAGGAATTGTTTGTTTGTATTACTGTCTCCAACATTATGGCAGCTTGGCACAGAGGCAAAGAGGTTCAATGTGGCTAGAATGGGTATGTTATAGAAATCAAATAACTTTAATTTTTTTAAATGTATATATCTCTATGTGTGCACTCATGCATGTGTGTACACACACCCATGCATGCAGTACCCTCAGAGGTCAGAAGGGGGCTTCGGATCCCCTGAAGCTGGAATTACAGGTGATTGTGAGCCACTAAGCATGAGTACTGGGAACCCAGCTCAGAACCTCTGTAAAAGCAGCCCGTGCTCGTAACCACTGACTCATCTCTCAAGCCTCTCAAATAGCTGCATGTGATCTCTCATTGCAAATGAACCAAAAAATGCATAATTGCAGATTTCACTTTATCAATATGCTTTCCCCCTTCACTTTTCATGGTCAAATCAAGTAATGAATTCTAAGAAAATACAGGATATTCCTGTACTTCAAATGTTCTGCATGAAAGAGGGGCTATAAGACTTTCTAAGGTTTCTAGTTAATTCTTGCTTCTCATGCATTATGTATTTTTAGGTTGGAAAAATTAATAGCATCCTTTTTGGAGGACAAAGATCCAGAAAGTAGACTAGAAGTTGATGCCGATATGCGCAAAATCCATTACTGTTTTCATCATTTTAAGGTAAATTTCAATGTTTCTCCCAGTCATAGCCATGTCCTGCCATGCTCCAACTGCAATAAAAGCTCTTCCTGTTGACCAGCTCTAGAAATACCAGGACCCAGCTTCCCACATGCAGAAAACAGCCTGGGTGGTCAAGTAGGCTTTGACTATCACTGGGCAACTACAGTCTGGGTGTCTAAGCAGGCTGTAACTATTGCTGGGCAGCTACAGCCTGGGTATCCAAGCAGGCTGTGACTATCGCTGGGAAGCTGCAGGGATTGTTTATTCTACAAATAAACTCTGGCCATGGAGTTTTAATTCTTTTTCCAGGAGTCTGTCTGCCTTGTGCCCAGAATATGTCTATGCTAAAACACACAAATGTGCACTCACACACACGTGAACATAAAAATATGCACACACACACATATTCAAACAGTTTCAAGATGATTGTGTCCAGGCTTTTTCCCCAGTATTTTGGTTTATCTGAATAATTTACTAATTCTCCTCAGCCTCTGAAGTTTTGCTTTTGTGATAAGGGGGTAGGAATGTCACCAGTTTTCACTTGTAATTTTGCACACTTTGAGAAGATACTGTGAGATTATGAAGCATTTTGTACCTTTTCTGAGGAAATATAAACAAACATCTATTTACCTCAGATAAGGCACTAACAGACCAAAGAAATGATTCTGCCAAGTCTACTTGAGGGAACCAATTAGTTTATTGAGGTTACAGAGGATTGATGACTCCAAGGCACATGCTTCTTTAAAACATCCCACCCCAGCAGGGGCAATGACTCAGAAAAACTGCATAGGCTAAGCTCCCTAGCAACTTGCAGGCCACACTACAAGAGTCTCTCCATCAGTAATTGTTGTGAACCTTGTAAGTTTCAGGAACTTCCTGTGCCTTGGACGTTTTATTTGCTTTTTGTTTTGCTTCTTGAGTCATGGAGCCTCCATCCTCACTCTGGAAGGGAATGCATCAATTTTGAGTAAATAGCTTCACATCAAGGGTTGGGGGGGCGAATCTAGAGGAGATACTATTTAAGGAGGATTTACCAGTTTAGAAGGGAGAGATGCTAAGGGAGAGGGGACTGGAAAGGCCGGTAGAAGGAGGAAAACATATCTAGCCTATACAGTAACAGCCTGAAAAACAAGAGTAGAAGAGTGGCCACATTCTAAGTCTCTTTGCTGTGATGCTGTTGCTGGCACACTCAGTAAGCTCTAACCCCAACTTGCAGAAGCTGTTGAGTGAGAAGAACACCATAAAGAACACCACCTCCTCTGAAACCACCCGCCAAGCCTGCCAGGAGCCATTGGAAGGTGAGGAATACACAAAGCTCCGAGACCTTCTCAAGCAGAGGGACAATGAAATCAGTATCCTTTCTGTGGGGCGGGGTGGTGTGTGCGAGACTCTAACTCACCGGCCTGGCCTGGAAGGAATATGTAGATTTCCCATTTCCCACTCCTGGTCCCATGGCAATGCCCCAGTCCTCAATGCCCCAGCTGATCACAGCTGCTTCACACTGGGAAGTGTCACTCCCACGAATCTCAAGCAGACATCTGACGTTAGCATTTTAGCTTGTTTTTTTGTTTTGTCTTTGTTTTTGGTGTGTGTGTGTGTGTGTGAGTGTATGTGAGTGTGTGTGTGTGTGTGTGTGTGTATGTGTTCACACATGTGGAGGTCAGAGGACAGTCAGTGTTCTCCTTCCATTACATGGAACCTGGGTACTGAACTGAGGTCATCAAACTTCGTGGCAAGACTCTTGACCAATGAGCCATCTCTCAAGCCCTTGATGTAGTTACTCTTCCAAAGACTTTTTAAGCCCTTGCCTGGTATCATACCATCTCTTAACACTAAGTCTTTTTCAAATATATTCTGGTTGCTCTGTGATGGGCTTTGTATTTTGAGTCTAGAGCCAATAAGTTAGCTGGTTAACTTTAGCTAGCTGACCAGACACCATGCTAACCACAGCCTTACCATGGCCCAGAATTCGTGGCTGGTGTGTGGGTGAAACTCAAAAGATTACTGAAAAAAAATGGTGTATGGTATTTAGTTTATGAAAAGCAGAGAGCTGGCTTAGATGTAACTTTTTATTTAAAAGCCAAATCTCTTGTCCTGAGTCCCACATACAGATGCTCCGGAATTAGGCAGTGAGCAAAGATTGGGTGTTCAGGATAGAATTCTTCTTGGCTCTCAGAGGCAGTGCCTTCTGGGTGCTCAAGGCAGTAGCTGCTGGTGGGCCCAGGTGCTGCCTCCCTGTGCAGACAGGAGTGATCACTTCTAAAGAGTCCCAGCTGGGGAGAATAGACCTCAGGACTCTAGGACAGTTCCTCAGTCTGTTCCTTATTTTTACCTTTCAATCTTCTTGTAAAAGATTTGACATTTTCATGACATTTATAGCCTTTAAACACTCACAAGAAATAATTTTTGCCAATTTTTATGAACATATTTTAGTCATTTAAAAAATTACTAAGACACTTTAAAGTGCAGATGTTGTGCAAAATACATAAAGTCTTATCTGCACAGGGGTAGGGAAATGGTTCAGTGGTTAAAAGTACACACACTGATCTTTCCTGAGCTGGAGATGCAGGCCTGGGTTCAGTCCCCAACATGGGGTTAGGTACCCTTGAACAGTATATCATGCTGTGTGTTCGTGTTTTATATTTTTTAATGTGTAGAGGAGCTAGAAAAATGGCTCAGCAGTTAAGAACACTTGCTGCTCTTCTAGGGGATCCCAGTTTATTTCCCAACTCATGCCCAAGCACCCCATCAGGTGGTACACAGTCGCTTGCAGCTCCAGTTCTGGGGATCTGATGTCCTCTTGAGGACTTTACAGACACTAGCCCTCATACACATTCCTGAGCACGCACACATACCACACAATCACAACACACACATGCTCACACATACAGCAATGCACAACACACATACACAACACACACATGCACACACAACACACATACATAGAGAGAAGCTTACATATACACAAATAATCCACACAAAGGAAAACCAGTAGAAAGGAGGAAAAAACCAACCCAAACAAAGTAGAGGAGCTGTCTCATTAGCTCCAGTCTCTAATTTTAGTTGAGTCTTAGCAGATCCCATGTCAGAGTCTAGTCAGTTTTAGCTACTTTATTATCCAGCCAGCAACGGTGAGTCCAACTGTGAATTACGCCCTTGTCTCCCAGTGCTGCCCAGTGTTGTCACCCCTGCATTCCTTCCTCCTTCTTACCCCATCCATCTCCAGGGATGGCCTCAGGCCTGGCCCGAGCCCCAGTCTGGGTTCTGTTTCTTTTCTTGGCCTTGAGCCTAGACTGGGATCTTCCCCCCTAAATTCTCCTACCAACCTCTCAGTACTCGCCATGCCTTATGGACATCTATGCAGCGAGGAGGAATGAAATGAGATGTGACAAACGGGGACCAGTCCAGGCTGGTTTACATGGTTTATAGAGGAGTGGAGTGAGCGAGAGACATGTGTGCGCCCCCTCCCGCTCCCGCCCCGCTGTCCTCACCCTGCTGAATCCTGCAGGCTGCGCACACGGGCGGGCGGCAGACACCAGGTGCTTTGTACTGTGAGCAAGTCCATGCCACCCCTTCCCTCGGCAGCTCACATTCAGAATGGTGATATGACAGGACGGGAGGGCTCAGTGGGCGCAACCACTTACTGCCAGGCCCGAAGGCACAAGTTCAGCACCCGGAACCCACCAAGCGGGACTCGAGAACAAGGATGCGCTGAGATGCTGTGACCACCTCTTAATGAGGCAAGAAGGAATGGAAGCCACACTGGGTATTCTAGGGGAAAACCTGGTTGGCCATCCAGAAGTCAACACGTTGAAGTTAAATCTGAGGAGGAATATGGAAACCAGATTGTTTCTATGTTACATGTTCAAAACCATGTAAACCAGACTCATCCCCTCTGTTCTGAGTAGCAGTCTCCCCCCCTCTCCGCCCTGTTCCTGTGTTTTTTAAGACTCCTGTGTGTGAGTATGCAAGTATGCGTGTGCACACATGCTCTCCTGCATGCCAAAGTTTGATATTGGGTGTCTTCCTCAGCCACTCTGAACCTTATATTCTGAGACGCATGCTCGGACTGAACTTGGAGATTGACAGAAAGCCTCAGGTGTGGGCCTTTCTCCGTCCCACACCACGCATGGCAGCATCTCCACCCTCTGAGCCCAGCCTTCTGCATGGGTCCTGAAAGGAAGACAAAGTCTCGTGTAGCCCAGAATGTCCCCAAAGTCATTACGTATACAAAGATGGCCTTGGATTTCTGACCCTCCTTTTGGCCAAGTGTTGGGGTTCTAGGCACTCCACCTGCTCAATGTGGTACTCAGATGAACACGTCTTGTATGTGCGTACATAGGATTCCCCAGGGTTGGGCTCCTCACAGGCACATTTCCATCTCTAGCTTTTGATGGAGACATTAGTGCAGCTTCTAAAGAACTCATTAAAAGCCCAGACTCCTTTGTGTGCATTGACCGTATGTAGACCAACCTGTTGTGGATTCCCATGACTGATCCTCCGCCTGCGCCCCCAAGCTCCCAGGCCCTGCGCCCGAAGCTCCAGGCCCCACATCCCCAGGCTCCCAGGCCTGCACCCCGGGGTTCCAGCCTCCCAGACCTGTGCCCCCAGACTCCCACTTGTACTTGTCACGCAGACATTACCCAGCATTTGGTTTTCATTGTGCCACTATGAAAGGCTCATTACCTCCTAAGCTGCCCACAGCTGCACATGCAAGTCCAAGGAGACGCTACCTTCCTGTGGCCAGTCTGCACCAAAGTGCAGTAGTTGCAATTATTTGGTTGGAGGATAATTATTTCTTTTTGAATTTTTGTCTGATCACTGTCATCTGTCTGTCAGGAGCCACTAAATCCTTAATTCAGATTTCAGATATCCTGGTCAACATGTTAAAAAAGGAAAAGAAGAAAACCCAGGATGCCCTGCACTTATCGAGCATGGAGAAGAGTGAAGGCAGGCCACCCCAGAACTCACCCTTCACCCCAGGCTCCTCAGCCCTTAGCCAGACCCAGGACCTCAGCATCTGCAGGCGCAGATCCGGTTTGCTCCGCAGAAAAACAGGTAGGTTGACTGAATTTCCAGCTTCTTTATCACCTGGGACGAATTTCCACATCACATCCTGTTGTCTGAACTGCAAAGAGGAAGTTTCTGGTGATGTGCTTGGGAGAGGTTTTTTGTTTGTTTGTTTGCTTTGGATTTTGGTTTTTTTTTTTTTTTTTTTTTTGGTTTTTCGAGACAGGGTTTCTCTGTGGCTTTGGAGGCTGTCCTGGAACTAGCTCTTGTAGACCAGGCTGGCCTCAAACTCACAGAGATCCGCCTGCCTCTGCCTCCCAAGTGCTGGGATTAAAGGCGTGCGCCACCAACGCCCGGCTACGTTTTTGTCTTTTGTCTTTTGTTTTTGTTTTGTTTAGTGAAATGCCTGTTTCCCAAATCCATGCATGAATGGGGAGGAATCAGCCGAGTGTATTGTGGCGGCATTGGATGAGGGGTGAAATGGGTCTGGGCACAAGTAGAGGTATCAGCTTCAGAGGAGGGGACGCAGCCCTTCCTGTGACAGGTGAGAGAATGGAGTCACACTGCAGCACCAGTGTGACTATGTTGCCTTAACCCAAGTCAGCTGTCCACAGCCAAATGACTTCACAACGTCAGTTCAGCCTTTATCGAAGATGACAAATAGGATTCCACAGGGTTGGGCTCCTCACAGGCACATTTCCATCTCTAGCTTTTGATGGAGATGTTGGTGCAGCTTCTAAGGAACTCATTAGAAGGCCAGACTCCTTTGTGTGCATTGACCGTATGTAGACAGCCTGTTGTGGATTCCCATGACTGACCCTGGCCATGTAAGATAGCATTTCCTGTGTGTCTGTTTGCTAGGATGAACCACCTGGCATGTGAAGCTTTCCAAGGCATCTAGCCTGGGAATCATTTACAAGCCTGGTGCCGTGTCAGCTAGTGTTAGTTTTCAACTTGCTACAACCTTGTCTTGATTTCTCCGGCCTGGTTTTTGAAGTGGGAGGGCTGGCCCTGAGGCTGGCGAGCACTGGTTCTTGGTCCGAGTCCTGGCCTATGTGAGAGTGAACAAGCAAGGATCCACGCATTTGTTCTCTACTCTAGCCAGTAGGTGGGACGCTATGCTTCCCCACAGCAGCAGCTGGAATCGCAAAGAGATAAACTCTCCCTTCCCTGTGTTGCTTTGACCAGGATGTTTTGTTTCAACAGAAATGAAAGCAGGATAGCAGTAAGCAGCTACCAAACACAGCACCCAGTAACGTGGAGATGGATTTTATGACATCTCACTCCTGTTCTTCTAACCCCATGTCACCTTGCCTCAGCTAGTTCTTCCACAACACAATAGCATGAAGTCCAAACCGCAGAGACAAAGATGCGTTTGCACTGTTCATAGTGCGGATGGAGAACAGGAAGGGTGCTGGTTCCTCTCTGCCACTGATTTCCACACAGTCCTGCTACATCTGTTGCAGTCTGCAGCTGTCTGAGATCAGGTGGGGGAAGGACCTGGATTGGTGAATTCTTTCGTTAACTAATCCATCCTACATATATTTGTGGCGCATGTGCTTCATGAAATTATTGCATTTTAATGTACTGTATGTGATTATAGATACGGGCATGTGTGTGCCGCAGCCTGCATGTGGGGGTCAGAAAACAACTTTGCAGAGTCCAGGGTCCCTCCTTGAACCATTCAGCACCTGTGACTGAGATGGGTTGTTCTGTAGGCACCGTCATCCACTTCGCTGATTCGAGCACACACTAGGTTGTAAGCACGATGCTATTTACCACCCTTGAATATACCAGCTACTAGGCTGAAGTCTCACCTTGAATAATAACTCATCTAATCATTATCCTGTGGCTTAGGTTGTGGTTTTTCCCCCAAGTTGCAGATGAGGACATGTATAGACAAACACAGCTTTGACCTTGGAATAATTACAAACCAACAGAACAGAGTCACTGAGGGAACACACATTAGGTCTGTGTCAGAGACAATCAGAAAGATTTTCTGCAAGGGTCAGGTATAAGTGGGGAGAATAATCCAATACGAAGGAATCCATTGCTTGGCTGTTTGCCAAGCCCTCCTGTGGAGCTAGGACGTGGGAAGGGCAGTTGTGGCTGGCTTGTGCAGAACAGACTAACACAGCAGAAGGCACTGAGACTCATGGCCGATTTAAAATTCCTGCGTCTAGGTCAGAGCCTGGAGGTGCTAAGAGAGTGACAGGCACCTGGGTGTTAAGGAGCTGGGGCACACAGGGTATGTCAGGGTGAGCTGAACCCCAGATCTCTGAGTGGCTGGTGTTGATCTCTAAAGATGTGATAAGTGAGAACGGCCTCCCCTACCCCACAGTGATGGAAGCTTTGACCACTATGAGTGCCTGTCAGCATCTCAACTGCCGGAGCCCACACCAGCAGCTGGAATTGCAAAGAAATAAACAGAAGCAGTTTTCAAAGCATGGCAATGCTTGCTTGCTGCGTATTTCCAGTCATAGGACATTGGGAAGTCACAGAAAAAAATTCTCTTTCTAACCTCATCCTGTTCTTTTCTTTCTCCTGCTTCCCTCTCTCCTCCAAGGCAGGCCATAGAATCCAGACCCTCTCTCCAAATACCACTCATGAAACTTAGAAATGGTCCCTCAATCACCCATGTAAGAATTCTCTGATTTGCCGAGTGATGGCGACACACACCTTTAATCCCAGCACTTGGGAGGCAGAGAAGGGTGGATCTTTGTGAGTTCAAGACCACCTGGTCTATAAGAACTAGTACCAGGACAGCGTCCAAAGCCACAGAGAAACCCTGTCTGGAAAAGCCAAAAAAAACCTCTGGTTTACCTTGACTGCATAGATCATAAGACAGTGGAGGTCTGGCCTCCGCCGGGTGGAAGGAATTCCACAGAGAGGCCAAGATGCATGCGGGCACGCACTGCAAGTCAGCCTGTCATATCAGACCATTTCTATAAGGCTGTCCTCAGACCTAAACATGGAAGTAACCAATTTCCTTGTCTTCCTCCTGGAGACTTCTTGACCACATAAAGGTTGGCTTACATAGATCTGCTATGTTTCTCTCTTTTGTCATAGGGGAGTCTCTGGTGACTCGTATGACAGACAGGTGAGGAAAGGTATCCCACCCACCTGTCCTACACTGCTCAAACTAGAGGTTATTTTCAGTACCCAAGGGGGAACACCTTGTCTCGTAGAGGATGGAGCTCTGATTTATAACTGTCGCCTGCATGCAGAACTGACCTCAGGTTCACCATCCGACCCTAGCTGCAAAGCAGACTCTTTGGATGTCTATTTCTTCCCTCTGCGCCATCCCCGAATGCTTCTCCCTTCCCTTGTAATTATAGTCATCTTGTCCAGAGCCTCTCCCTCCCTTGATCTTGCCGTTGAGATGGACCACAGTCTTGCTTTGGGAACAAATCTAGTTTACTTGAATTGAAAATTGCTGGAAAACTAAAAAACAACAACAAGAAGAAAAACCTCATAGCGATTGTTTTCAGGCTCCAAGAACAAATGGGGCCGAAGCTTTGGAGAAGGGCCTTCCATCTGAAAGTGCTTTTGAGTTGTCCTAACTGCCATTGGCTGGACTTCCCGGAGAATTGTAAATGGGAGTCAGCCGACAAATGGACTGATAATGATCTAACCATTCGGAGAAGGGTTTGGAGGGGAATCAACTTTATTGTCTGGCAGAGACTACAAATAGGAATGAAAATTGTGGAGGAATCAGTCATGGAGCGCCAGGTAATGGGAGCCTTGATTATGCTTCAGATCCTGGGAGCCGATTAGACATTTATGACCACAGCGGCTTGTATATGAAAAGCTTATGTAAACTAAAGCAAATTAAAAAAAAAGTCAATAAGCTCGCCGTTGGGAGGCTCTTCTGTCTCAGGAAGGTGTGCCCACTTCTTTAGGCCATGCCAGAGCTGTTTCTAATGCAGGGTAGGTCACATTGACCGTCTCTGAGATGATGGCAAACGCGTGTCCCTTTCTTCCTCTCCCCTCTGACTATGCCGCACATGCGCACCATTGAACTGGAAAGTGGGGCTGAATTTATGGTTCACTGGAGAGCCCTGGAGTCCTTGTCCAAGAAGCGAGGCGAGGCTTTGGGGCCTCCACTTGCCATATGGAGACTAAATGTCTATTGCGGTTTCCTTGGAAAGATGAGAGCGGTTGGTTGTTCAGGCTCAGTTTGGAGAGTCACACTGTTCTTTTGTATGCTTGCCTAGCATGCACAGAGCCCTGGTGCCTGTCTGCAGCACTTTGTAAAGCCGATTGTGCGTGGCAAGGGCTAAAGAAACGGCTCAGCAGCTAAGAACTTGTGCTGCTCTTCCAGAGGACCCAGGTTCGATTCCTAGCACCCACACGGTGAGCAGTTCACAATGCTGTAACTCCAGCAGACATCCAGACACGGCAGCGGGCGTCTTTGATCCCAGGCTGGGGGGCAGAGGCAGAGGATCCCATTAGCTCTCTGGATAGCCGGCCTAGCTGAATGAGTGAGCTGTAGGTTCAGCGAAAAACCTGGTCTCAAGTAATAACAATAACAACAACAACAGTAATAATAAGGTAGAGGGGCCGGAGGGATGGCTCAGTAATTAGGAGTATGTAGTATTCGTGCAGAAGACCCAAGTTTGGTTCACAGCACCCATATTGGGTGGCTCATAACCCCAGTTTCGGGTGACTCAGTACCCTTTTCTGGCCTGTGAAACCACACACACACACACACACACACACACACACACACACTCACACCAAATTGTTCTCATGAGATCAAACCCTGCTGTTTTATCCATCTGGCACCGCCTAGTCCTCCACTAAGTTAGGAAGAAAAGATCCAGGAGGCAAATGGGGGCGGAGACCCACCTTGATGCTTACCACAGAAAACTCATATGTGCCCTTCCCTGGAGAAAATGCGTCTTTCAAATCCTATTTGAAAGGCATGTAGAGAAGGTGAGTGAACGAGACTGGAGATGGGAGCTAGTAGGGAGAAGGAAAGATGAGGCGTTTGCCCGCACACAGACGTCCGCTCTCATGCCTCTGCACTCCCAAACTTTGACCACTCCAACCTTTGGTGGGAATGGATTTCTGATGTTTGAGCAGCGGCAGTGGACAGCATGAGCTCATATATACCCTGTCCTACTTAACTCTGGCCAACTTGACACGATCTAAGTCATCTGGGGAGAGGAACCAGCCGCCCATCACATTGGCCTGTGGGACATTGTGTTGGCTAATGATGGATGGGGGAGGGCCCAGCCACTGTGGGTGGACCCAGCACCTGGGTACCTGGTGCTGAGTTCTGTGAGAAAGGAGGTGAGCAAGCGATGGGGAACAAGTCCGTAAACAGCCCCCTCCATGTTCTGCATCAGCTCCTGCCTCCAAGTTCCTGCCTGTTTGAGTTCCTGTCCTGACTTCCCGTAGTGATGGACTCTGAAAGCAAATTACGACAAGCCCTGTCTGTCTGACTCTATCTTTATGTCTATTTATCTTCCTATAGCTGTGTCTACTGCTTCTATTGGCCTATCTTCTCTGTCTATCTACCTGTTCATCCATGCACACGTCTATCTGTCTACCAGCTGATCTGTTTTGAAATCACCGTCTGTAACAAGTGCGTAGAGCTGTCATTTCATGAGGAAAAGCCCTGCATCATTCCTCAAAGAGTAGTCCATGGCTGGGGAGATGGTTCTTTTGGTAAATTGCTTGACACAGGGACTGACTTCAACCCCCAGATCCCTCACCTTATAGAAGTTCAGCCTTCCAGTGCCCACTCATAATCCTAGGACTGGGGAGGCAGCCCCAGGAGGGAGGACCCAGCAGCAGTCCGAGGGATGGGCTATTCGTTTCTGCAGAGATGGCAATCGCTCCGTAGCTTCATCGATGTGTGCCACTCCTCAGCTAGAACTTTACAAAACTGGTATTGCTTCCCCTGAATTGCAGGGTCTCTTCTACTGAGAGGCCTCCATAGGGCCCCCTGGAGGTGACACACAGACACTACAGCAGAAGAAATTGGGAAACAGGGAGGTTCTTCCAGGGTTCTATTGTCTTGGATCAGGCATGGAGCTAGGGGTGCTTAGACTTCCTAGCCAACAGTTGTTCTGTCCTTTCCCTCTGAGGGAAGGTCCTAAAATCCGTCTCCTGACCAGGGACAGTAATGACACCTGGCTTGTCCTGGAGTTTAAGGAATCCATCAGCATCCCCTTTATCAAATTGGATTCTCTGGGATTTACACCAGCAAACATGGGAATGCTTTTGTCGGTGTGCTCTGCATTTTGGAAGCCAAGAAACAGATCCTAACTTAGTTTCCAGCATAAGACATGATGTTTATAAAAACATCTCTCTACTGAGCCAGTCATGGGCACTCACCTTTAATCCCAGCACTCTGGAAGCAGAGGCAGGTGGATCTCTGTGAGCCTGGTCTGCATAGTGAGTTCCAGGAAAGCCTGGTCTGCATAGTGAGTTCCAGGCCAGCCTGTTCTACAGAGTGAGTTCCAGGCCAGCCAAGGGTACATAATGAGAGTGTTCCAAAAAACCACAAAGAAAACAAAACCCATCTCTCCATTGCTCTGACATCACAACAGTTGTCACCCTGTTCCTGTGAGAGTCCGGTTCTGCTGGCTCTCACTCTCAGAGTTGTGCCCCTATTTGCCACACAGGTGTGTGTGTGAAGGACCCGCCTCCACTCTGCGTGTGGGGAGTCACTGTCCAGGAAGCCCTCTGTTTCTGTCTGCTACACTGCCTTTGTACTTCCCTGATTGCTATACTTCTGTGTCTGAGACACTCTCTGTTTATGGTTATTTTATGTGCTTTTCTGAATGGAGATGCCTCACATGTTTATAAAATTCATCAATAGGAGATAGAAAACATTCAGCTAAATTTGAACTTCTTCTGATATGTGTTTAAGTTTTTAGTGAGCCCCCATGCAATATACATCTGCTAAAAAAACATACTCGTTGATTATCTTAAATTCTAAACTGGCCTAACTTCTTCCCAGAATCCTACTCCTGGCTCTGATCTTTGTAATGCTGCCTCATGTCAGGAATTCACTGACCATCTCTAATGCTTGGGCCACAGTGACCATGTTTCCTATCATGTACAGTGCCCTGGGTTCAACTCCTAGAACCAAATAAAAGGACCTGTCCCAGAGAAGAAATGAGGAGGTCTCTGTAGTTGGATTAGTGTGCAGATCTCTGTGTGTTTCTTTGGGGGTGACTAGAGTTGACCCTCACATCATATCAGGTTGCAAGTTCTGGTCTTCCTTCTCACCTGTGCTTCTAGCTCAGCACAAGTCTAATGTTCCAAAACAGAAAAAAAACACCAGGCAGATTCTAGCACAAAACACTTCTCAAAGTTCTCTCTTTAAGTATTTGGCGACTTCCCGTGGGCTACGGGATACTATGCTGTGGCACATGGAGGACACATGCAATGTGCTATTACTGTGGGTGTCGTGGCTAAATACAAAACTCGCCCCTATGCACACCTGCTTATGCAGATTCATCAGTCTCTGCTGGGCCCAAAGGAACCAGTGCTCCAACTGTCCAATTACTCTGACCCCAGTGCTGGCCTAATATAGGCATGATGGACTCCCTATCATGTGAGGTCTTTCTAGAGCTAAGCCTTTTTACTAGTAACATTTTTGTAAGTACTTTTAGCAACCAAGGCTATTACTGATATTATGATTGATAATACATCCAACTCGCCTGGAACTTTTTCAGGTGTCTAGAAACACTCCAAATTTCCAAAGCTGACAAGTGACATGTAAGTACTATTTGCATACCGTATTCCACGAAATGCCCTCTGTGCTGATAGAGAAGCATGAAATTGGGATAGACAAGGAGTACTTAAGAACTTCCCAAGGCAGGCAGACTGAGTAGCTCCCAGAGCCAAGTTCTGGGCATTATGTCAAATGCCTTAGAGAAGTTAACAGATGCAATAAAAGCAGGCCACACACACACATACACACACACACACAGTG